TCCCGTTATTTGTCCCAGCTTCTGCCATCCTAGCAGTTTGAAAGCACATAAAAATGCAAGTAGAAAAATAGGAACCATCTTTGGTGGGAAGGTAATCCATGTATCTTTGGTGTTTAATCATGTCAGCTACATGACCACAGAGACGTCTTTGAATAGTGCTGGCTCTTCAGCTTAGAAAGAAAGATGAGCACTGCATCTAGAACACTGGACACTGTTCAGTGTCATTTCAAAATTACATGGGTGGCAAAGAGATTTAATAAATAAATTTCTCAGCCTCTTCAGATTCCCATTGCATCTGTTATCAGCAAATAAGCAAAGATGGGACCAAACAATAAACTCACATGTCTTCAACTGTGATATCTTTCAGGATCTGACAATAGTCCACATTCCACACAGCTTGGTCATCCCAAACTTTGGATGCAAGTAGAATTGCACCAAGCACAATTCTTTTCCAGTTTGATGGACAAATATCTATCTCTGCATAAGTTAACAATCTTTCAAGATATACCTGAAAAGACATGTGAAAGCAAGAGTTCATACATTTCTCTAGCTGAATAGAAATAAGAGGAGGAAGAAACCCAATTATACCCTCCTACCTGAGTGATCTTTAAATGGAAAATTGTTTCCAGTGGTACCATATAAATAATACTTCACAGTTCAATAACAGCATACACTTTCACTATAGTTTTCACGGCAGATTTCTGAAAATATTTCAGACTTGATGTAATAAACAATATTTAAAAATAACCAGCAGGATTACTACTTTAAAAGCTTTTCTAGTATGAGTTTACCACTGATGATGGACTGAAGTACCCTTGATTATTCGCTGATCTGCAAACTCCTACACAGAAAACCAGCAAAGATGTTAATGCAATCAACATTAAAGAATAAAAGGCAATATGGGATGGGGTGTAGAAATCTAACAATGCAATTTAGCTGAATTACATCATAAGAACAGTGATCATGTAATGCACAAAATGGGAAAGTTTTTGTGCCACGATACTGTAGCTCTGCTTTTATCAATCTTCTTTTTGCCTCTCCAGAGATAATGTTGTTTTACCACTTGCATTCTTTATAGCTGAAGGCTTTCGTTCTGCCATGCCATGCACAAGAAGTAACTTCACTGCACAAGTTGACAGCAACAAGAATCTTATATGTACAAAAGTGGAAAGACACATTGATTCCAACAATGGAAGAGTGGATGGAAAGTGATGGAGTTTACAAAAATGGTAAAATTGTCTTATTTTAATTAAAGAAAAGAATTTATCTAGTTTTCTTCCTACCTGGAAATCACTGCTGGATTTTATGCTCAAAACATGAAAAAAAAATGAATTTAGCTTTTGATGATTGGAATGGTTTTATAATTATAGAAATGGCTTGAAATGTTGGGAAATGTAAAGCAAAAAGTTGAGGTATTATTTTTGTAATCTATTGCACTGATGAAAGACAGAAGTTTAATTTTATTTCATTATTTTTTTTTGCAGTTCCCTTTCTTGGTTTTCTAACTTTTAAACAAATAGAAAATTTTGATTGTATATTTATATCATATAATGACTTTTAATAAAACATATTATTAAAAAAAGAAATAACTACATTGCAAAGTAAGCAAACTATAATTGCTTAAATAAAAAAATGGACTGACATTAGATTAGCACCAATAAAAATGAATTTTGATCTCTGGCCATGTGCTGGATTAATAGTAGTAGTCATCTACAGAATAGTATTAAGATTGACTAGATATTATTCTTATTTATTATTAGGTTTGATTAGTTATCGGGTCTTCAGATGATCTAGATCAGGGGTCTTCAACTTGAGCAACTTTAAGACCTGTAAAGTTCAACTTCCAGAATTTCTCAGTCAGGCTGGCTGAGGAATTCTGGAAGTTGAATTCCACAATCTTAAAGTTGCCAAGGTTGGAGACTCTTGATCTAGATCATGCCTGTCAAACTGCCAGCCCGGGGGCCGAATATGGCCCGTGCAGGCCACACCTACCTTGGGTTTACAACAGCAAAAACATTGTGATACAGCCCGTGATGCTATTGGGTTTGACACCCCTAATCTAGATGTATGGCTAACAGTATGCAATATACCTATGAACTGAATTTACTTGAAATTTGAATTTACTAGTTGAAAATTTCTAGATAGCCTGAAATCCGAAGGTGGTCAGGAAAAACTGAAGATACAAGATATGAAACAGACCCAATTTTTGGTAGTGTCTGGAGCAGGGGTGTCAAACTTGTTATCATCATGTGATGTGTCACAACTTTTTTCCTTTCGCTAAGCTGGGGGTAGGCATGGCCACTGCATGATGTATCTGGGCCGCTAACCGCAAGTTTGACACACCTGGTCTAGAACAAATCTAGGGGGAACATGATTACTGAAGAAAAGAAATTTAGGAAATAGGAGAGTAAAAGTATAATACAAGACAAATCTATCTCCCAGTATAATGGATAGAAAGTGGCAGTTTTGAATAGCTATAGAAAAGTTACATAGATTATGCTTATTTATGGGCTGCGATGGCGCAGTGGTTAGTAGCCAGTACTGCAGACTACTTCGGCTGACTGCTGACTAACTGCAATGTGGCAGTTCAAATCTCACCAGGCTCAAGGTTGACTCAGCCTTCCATCCTTCTGAGGGTGGTAAAATAAGGACCCAGATTGTTGGAGGCAATATGTTGACTCTGTAAATCGCTTAGAGAGGTCTGTAAAAGCGCTGTGAAGCAGTATATAAGTCTAAGTGCGATTGCTATAACTGTCTTTTTCTTGAAATTTTAAAACTAAATTTAATGGTAAGAATTTAATGAAAAGCATGGATAGCCACTAATCATGCTGTCCTTTCTCTGAATCTTTTTTTGCTATCTTTTCAAACAAATTATAAGCTCACTGACCATTACAACTATAACAAATTCTGCTGGATTTAACAGAGGGTTGTGCAAAGCAGTTCTGAATTGCAGAAAGTCTTCAAAATACTATTTTAACTTCATTAGCCAAAATAGAATCAACATCTAATTCATTTTAATAATTAAATTATAAATTTCCAGCAGTTTCTACTACTTACCGTTAATTTAAAGCAAGTCAGAACAATCTTCATTGGAATAAATGAAGAAAAATACATGAGAAACTTGATGCCTTAGTCTAGAAAACCACCTTTTGAAAATAATTTAATGCTAACTTTGCAGTAAGTAGAGGCAGTGGTGGAATTCAGCCAGTTCACACCTATTCGGGAGAACCGGTTGTTTACTTTCTAAACAGTTCAGAGAACCGGTTGTTGGAAGAAATATTATTTTGTTTTTTTCTATTTTACAGGGCTAAACCTTTAAGGAAGGCTGGAAGGAAACATTCTGGCCTAATCTTTATTGCCTTGCTTACAGAAACTCCTCTCCAGTTAACCCTTATTACATTGTAACAGCTAAGATGAAAAGTCCATCGATGTGAGTGATGTTGAATTGGCCACGCCCACCTAGTCACATGACCACTGAGCCCCACCTACCCATTTGGTTATTAGGGCAGAGAACTGGTTGTTAAATTATTTGAATCCCACCACTGAGTAGAGGGCTATTATGTGCATGGTAAACAATTCCAAATAATTTACAAATACAGCCACAGATCGCAGGATTTAAATATCCAATAGTGGGAATTTATTCTGAAGTGAGAAGGGCCAAAATATATCTTACTGCATGGTTTACCTACATGCAATCACTTTTTCTGTCCATTTAAAGTTTGAGATGGGAAGAGAATAGCCTGAGGAGGAATGGAAAATTGTCTTGCTTCTGCAAATTCAGTTCTTTCATAAACATTATCCCCAAAGACGGTTCTCTTTTCTGCAATAAGTTGCCAATGTTCCAAAACTATTTTGGTCATAATGGAATACAACTTTTATCCCAGATTTAACTTTTTAAACATCAGACTCCTACATGGGTCAGTTATTCCAGCACTCCTTCAAATAAATATCAGTTGTTACTAACGTCCTTGAAAGTTGTCCAAGACTATTTGCTTGAAGCCATGCCGATGTGTATTCAAGTTCAGAAATATAAAGTTTCAACCTATAATATCTTTTGGATCCTGCGTATCGACACCCCACTCCCATTGGGAGTAAAAAGGCAGTAACAAAACTTCTTTGCAGGATCAAGAGATAATCTAAGCCAGGGTGCTTTTAAATAGACTGCTTTACTATCTACAATGATGGTTACAATTCTCTTTGGGAGAAAAAAATGGGTTGTTTTTTTCAGCCTCTGCCACATAGGGAGTTGTTATATTTTAAGGCCAGTATTTCACCACTGAATTATGGTTCTCAACTAAAATCAAGGCTGGAAGGAAAAGAGAAAATCTACTTTTTTAAATGATAGCATCCGTTGTGTGCGGAAGTTCCCTAACCCACTGAAAAATAAAGCTATGTCCTTTCTACCTATTCCCCCTATGGCTCATGTCTCTATTCTATTTTATTTATTTTAAATTTTGGTCAAATAGAAGATGGCAAAACAGTATTTTCCACATACACACCCCATTCATTTATTCTTCAAACACCTCTGTAATAAGATTAAGGTTAGAATTAAGGTTATTTAAGTAATTTCTATATGACACATCTATATACAATATTCTATATTGTAGCATGTCCATCTTGAGATTACAATATTTAGTAGATCACAGTCAATGACATGAATTAATATCATAAAACAAACTTCAAAAACAAGATGAAAATCAAAGTAAAATATTATATAAAATTGTGACTTGCCCAAAATCACTCTGTGAGGGAGATGGGCGGCTTCTAAATTAGATGAATATTTAATAAATAAAAATATATAAAACAGCATCAAGCTAAAATTTAGATAGCTGTCCAAAACAGCTTCAATGGAAAGAAGACTAAAGGTTAAAGAACACATAATCTAAATATGTACTAAAAGCACATGGACCATTGTGGTCAGATTAGAAGAAGCACCATTGACAAATCAGGGATATATGATTTAAAGCTTACTATTGCACAGGTCCAAAGAGCATCCACAAAATATGCACTTGTTTGTTCATAGTTTCAAATGTACCACTCTGGAGGCAGCAAAATCCCTTACTGGTTGGCCACAGTCTTCCCAGGCCATCAACCCAGGGATGGGCTTCAAAAATTGCAGCAACAGTTCACTGCTCAGTTGCTGGGTGGGTGTGGCCATGGTGGATGTGGTGTGGTCGGCCTCCTGCACTATAGCAGAGGGGACGTTTTTCACCTTCCCCAGGCTCCAGAGGCTTTCCTCGCGCCTCAGGGGGGAGGGGCAAAAACTGCCCCTGCCTCTGGACTTCTGGAAGCTCTGGTAGGCCCGTTTCCCCTCATCCTGAGCTTCCACGTGGCCCTGCACTTGCCTGGCATGATGAATGGGCCAAGTGGAGAGTCCTGGAAGGAGCAGGATAGGGGGGAGGGGCAGGGTGGGTGAGGCCAGCCAGGGGCAGCATTTGGGGGTTCCTCAAACTGGCCACAATCCTGGCTAAAGGATCACCCAAAACTATGTGGACCCCCAGGAGCCCACCCCTGCATCAACCCCTCTGAATTCTCAGGATTAAGCTGTCACTTATTCTGCAAGCTAGTCCAAGCAAGAACCAATTACAAAGCTTGGCAACTTGATGATGGCGGAAAAAAGAAGTAGAATGGAAGTGGCATCTAGTTTCAACACACAACACACAAACATTCCCAGTGGTATGGGAACTCTTAATGTAGGAACAGAGGTTCACCGACAAAAGGGCGAACGACAAAAACGCGCCCGACTAAACCGCGGTGATAAAACCGTGTGTTCTAAAGCGCTCCGACGAATGAGTGCTGAATCGCGCTGACAACAGCGCGGAGACAGAAGCGCGCTGTAAAACTAAACCTAACCCTAAACCTAACCCCTAACCCTAACCCTAAACGTAATGCTAAACCTAACCCTAACCTTAACCCTAACCTAACCCTAAACCTAACCCTAACCCTAACCCTTAACCTAACCCTAACCCTAAATCTAATCCTTAACCTAACCCTAAACCTAACCCTAAACCTAATCCTAAACCTAACCCTTACCTTAAGTTAAATCGGCTTTCTGTCGACGCGCTATTGAAAAGTGCCCTTCTGTCTCCGCGCTGTTGTCTCCATGCTGTTGTCGCCACGTTGATGACACCGCGGTTTTAGCGACGCTGTTTAGTCGGGCGCGGTTTTGACGTTCGCCCTTTTGTCGGGTCACCGGAACAGAATCGTGGCAAGATAGCCTCTCCAACTTTAATTCTCTAATGTGATCCATAAGAAAATTATAGTTGCTTTTATCCAAAATTGCTATGAAATCACCAAGAAAAAGGAATCATTCCCTATTCACCCTTCTTAAGTTTATCTATCAAAATAATAAATATTGTCTTCATGTTATGATCCAGACCAGACCAAAATAGATCTAGAAAATCAAGTATTTAGATTTGTTATTTTAATTAAAGGGAGCTCTCTGTTAAACGTTAGCAAAAGCCCAAAGGAGACATGATGCTTGTCATACAATTTGAAAGCACAGCTGTTTTTCTTTTTTTAACTAAATAGAAGACATGAAGATAGAGGCTGTAAGCTAGATTGGAGCCATTGATTTAACCTTTTGTGACCCCAATTATCTCAACAAAAATGAAGTCCCCTCATAAATAGTAACTGCAAATGTGGAATGGGGATGTACAGATCTGGTTTCAATGATTTCACCTTCCTTTTTTTATGTGCCATCGTTCCAATCTGCTCCCTTTTTCCTAGCTATTTTATTTAAAGACGTGCTATAAGGGTGAAATACATCTCCAAATGGAAAGCTTACCAGTTATTGAGTTTGCCTGTTAGAAAGGGTATTTTGGAAATGACTTGTATAAATCATACAACATATTTACCAAACCTCTTTAAAAATAAAGTTATTATTTAACTTGAGAACCTTCAAAATCAATGATTTCTCAAGATATCATCTGGAGAAAGAGGAAAGGAAAGGAAAAAGGAAAGGATCATTTAAATGCTACAGGCAAAATATGAAATTTAAGAATTGAACTACAAAGCTACATTGCAAAATAAAATAAATTCAAATATCATTATTATAGTCTTTGAACCTAGAAATAGTTCAATGCAACAATTAATCATCAGGGGAAAAACAATAAAGTAAAATAAAATAAGTAAAATAAAGTAAAATAAAATAACATGTATGGTATATTTAAAGGTATACTGTACAAATGTATGAATTAATAATATTAAGATATTTGGCCACCTGGTATATGAGAATAAAGTCAGAATTCCTTAAAAATTAATAAACATAAAATGTATGTGAATGGCCCATATATTTAGAGATTAATTGGGTCAAATATTGCACATAATATACATTGCAAAATAAGACAGGGTTAAAAAGAATTTGGACTGTTAATCTCAGAAAGAAATATAGCTGAAAATATTTCGTCTGCAATAGATAGGTAAATATTTAGGAAAAATAAGAACTATTGAATCTACCCACCAAAATCCCTCTGTGAGGTAGATTGGCTGTTTTAAAAATTTGATAAATAAATACAAAGACAAGGAAAATAGTAAGCAAATGTTAAGTAATTTCAAGGTACCGTATATGAAAGCTAAAAGTACCTGTAAGTATTTATATGTATCCTGTCTCATCTGCAACATCTATTTTATGCATGAAGTCATGGGTAGGTGAATCTGATATGTGATCTTAACTCCAAATATAAATCTTAAACTGAGGATCTAAACTTAGTTGTATTTTAAGTCACACGGTGGGTCAGTGGCTAAGATGCTGAACTTGTCAGCGCCAGAAAGGTTGACAGTTTGGCGGTTTGAATCCCTAGTGCCACATAATGGAGTGAGCTCCCGTTTCTTGTCCCAGCTTCTGCCAACCTAGCAATTCAAAAGCATGTTAAAATGCAAGTACAAAAATAGGAACCACCTTGGTGGGAAGGTAACAGTGTTCCGTGCGCCTTCGGTGTTTAGTCATGCTGGCCACATGACCACGGAGAAGTATTCAGACAGCACTGGCTCTTCGGCTTTGAAACGGAGATGAACACTGCTCCCTAGAGTCGGGAACGGCTAGCACATATGTGAAAGGGGAATCTTTACTTTTAAGCATTTCAACTATGATGTTTTGTATACTCACCAGGGTGACAATAGCACATTCAGCAGTTAGCTGAGCAGCACTGAATAACGTCCGAACAAAGCGATAAATCTGTTTTTGTTCAGGTTGATGTTTGTCATAATCTGATGGCACTTCGGATTTCTGGGGAAATAATATTATTTTAAAAAATGAGAATATGTTACATATAATTTGTAAAGAAGTGGCAGACGTAAAGGGTGGAGAAATAGCAGAACTCATATTGTAAATTCCAAATTTTTGTTATTGTCCTTAAGTAAGTGAGCTTTACCGAAAGGGGGTGGAGATTTTCATCAAAAATATCTAGGAGCATTGTTCCATCTACATCCCTAGAAGAGGGGGAAAGAAAAGAAGAGAATCATTGGTAATGTTCCTGAACAAACAGAAATGGAGAGAAACACTTCTCAAAGTCCTACAAAAAATAGCTGATTTAGAATACAGTCCCATCCTGTGGGAAGCCGTATCAATGGGATCTATCATCCTGCTAGGGAAGTAAAGACTATATTGAAAAGTAGACTTTCTACCTTTGTCCATGGAAAACTACTGGGAGTATGCCATGCTGGAAAAAATGAATCACTCATATACCAAGCTATTTAGACTTGAAGGACATTTGCAAAAACAAAAATATAGATAGAGTTAAGCTCTCCAGGTGTTACAGCCAGTCAAGCAAAGAAATATGGCATTTAGTTAAGCTCACTCTACAACAGAATATGAGAAAGAGTGAAATCTCTTTATTCCAAAAATGAAAGTTGTTTTGAAATTTTAAAATAATATTTAAAAGAGTCTCAAGGTTATCTTACTGACTGGACAGAGGCAAAACAGTACAGCTTTTCCTTTCTTTCAATTCAATTGTGTTTTTTATAGATTGGTATATACTCTTTTTTTGGAATCCAAAGCCATTTCCAACCCAATCCTATGACACGAAAGAAACTTGGACCCATCCAGGGGTGAAATGCTCTAAAGTCTCCTGCCGGTTCGCTTCGCATGCACATGCACACCATTTGCCTGAACCGGGAGTAAAAAAAAATGTTACCGGTTCAGGCAAACTTGTAGTTCTGATGATCAGCTGTGCAACAATCAGCTGTTCAGCACAGCTGATTGTCGTACAGCTGACTGTTGGTTTGCCTGAACCAGTAACATTTTTTAATTTCCAGTTCGGGCAAACCGGTAGCATTTTTTACTACTGGTTCGGGCGAACGGGTAATATTTCCCTCCCCGGACCTATCACTGAATGCATCATTTTGCTTTACTTACATATTGTCTCTCCTATCAAACTAGGGGATGGGAGGGATGGAGGATAGGAATAAGAATCCACTTTAAAGAATAATTTATCCAAAAAGCACTAGGGCTTTTAAACTTTCAGCCATCCATTGCTTTAATTAGATGCCAATATAAGCAGAAATACTAAAATATAATTATGGGGTCAGTTGCCACACGGCAGCGTTTTGTTCCATCGCGCACAAAAATCGATTAACAGCAGTGGTTGCCTTTATAAACTGCTGGTGGGCTTTGTTCAATCGACATGTAGCTGATTATCACAGCAGAAAGAATGCCAGGTAAATTAGACTTTTGCTTGACCTTAGATGGATTTCTCTTACATGGATAGATGGTTACTGATTAGGGAATGTTACAATACTTCCAAGGTAACAGTAGAGGGCACATGTACATCATTCTGGGACAAGGATAATCAGATTCAGAAAACTTCTGCTTTTAAAAAAAAAAATACTAGTCTTCTTAGTTGACTACTCACGTACAGCTTTCTCCTGAGTCCTCAAATTTAGGGTCACAGCACCCGTCTTTAGGTCGTATTTTGTACCCTACATAACGCAGTAAATGGGGGCAGAATAATTTTGAAAGGACAAGAAGACTATAGGGTAGTGTAAGTGTATCTTCTGTCCACACTCCATGGATGCTAGTTCAGTAACATTTATGTTTGCAGAGGTACAAATGTTGGACAAAACTTTCATTTAGAAGATGGGCTTCAAGTAAATTTTGAAAAGGTACTCCTTTGAAATGAGATCAGTGGTGAAGTCCATATAATTTCATGGCAGAAGGACAGAAGCAGCTTTGAGAACTAAAATATTTTAGTGTTGTATATTTCCCCACCACTGCCAGTTACATCTGCAATTGACTATGAGCATCAATGTGTCTACAAGCAATACCTATGCTGCCCATTAGGCTCCACAATCCGCTTGATAAAAAAAAAAAAACCAAATTAAATAGATAGTTGTAATCTAAGATTTTGGTTGAAAAAGTGGTCATCTGACCAAGGCAAACAACAAAAGAAAAGAGGAAGTCTTTCAGCAGGATCCATCCTAATGGACTAGAAGAGATAACCTCAAGCAATTTGTTTTTTGCTCAGTTGATGTTTGTGACTCTGTCCACCAATGCCACAATTAATTATCAGGGGGAAAATAGCAAAGGCAGTAAAATAAATGGCATATCTAATTAAAACTGTATATTCCAAATCTGATCACCAGTACTCAAATATTGGAGAGATCTGTGCATCTTAAGACTTACTACACAAATGGCAATATATGAATGAGGATGTTGGTTTTGAATTATATCCATGTGATTTACTGATTAGAATCTTGTCTATGTCTCCTCTGCACTTCTGTATGCTATCTACTGATTTTGTCAAGATTCTTTAAAATAAAATAAAAGCTACAATAAAAACTATACAAGGAAGCATGAAGGTTCCTAAGCGATGTGTGCATGGTGTGTGTGTGTGTGTGTGTATGGGACGAGGTGGCTCAGGGGCTAAGATGCTGAGCTTGTCAAGCAGAAGGTTGGCAGTTCAGCAGTTTGAATCCCTAACGCCGCGTAACGGAGTGAGCGCCCGCTACTTGTCCCAGCTCCTGCCAACCTAACAGTTCAAAAACACGTAAAAAATGCAAGTAGAAAAATAGGGACCACTTTGGTGGGAAGGTAACTGTGCTCCATGCGCCTTCGGCGTTTAGTCATGCTGGCCACATGACCATGGAGATGTCTTTGGACCGTGCAGGTTCTTCGGCTTAGAAACGGAGATGACCACCGCCCCCTAGAGCCGGAAACAACTAGCGCACATGTGCGGGGGAATCTTTACATATACATATACACACATACACACACACACACACAAGATCAGCTATACTTTAAGGTCTTCACCCATGATCCCATTGGAACAATTTATCTAGTTTGCTTTGGGATTTGGGATTATGGAACTAAATGGACACTATCCATTATGTGGGTGTTTCCTCATCACTGACCATCACTAGTCACCTAGAACATCCTTGGATGGGAAAACTATGTACTGTTTCAGTTCTGATTACAACACATTCAAGGCTACATATGGAATAGCACTGAATATACACATAAAGTGTCCCTGCTTTGCAAACTTTCTTATAAAGGAGTGAAATTTAAAAAAAAAAAGGAAAAAACAATGAATTAGTATTTGAACCATTTTCCAATTCAAACCTACCTATTTTTGATATGGTAGTATACTGCAAGAGCTACGCTGTAAAAGAAAATGCAGAGATAGCGTCTTAATACATATCGAATATACCACATCTTAACATTAAGTTTTATAACTAAGTCAAATTTCTGAGGGGCCATTCAACCATATATTTTTTTTATCAAAAGAGAGAATGTGTATCAATAAAAGCAATAAAGAAGGATAAGCTTTTTTGTAGCAAAATTATACTGAATGCAACAACTATACAGGCCAAGATAAAGCCATTTTATTGCCGGAAAACAAGAATAGGTATGCCACTCAATCATTTCTGTTAACATGGGAGACTATATAAATTTGATTAAAGAAAAAAAAATGTTTTAAATAGGTATTTCCTTCCCTCATTTCAGGTATAGATGACTGGATTAACAACTGCATCTTAGTTTAATGCTGATAATCGTACAAGATACGACAACACAGCATAGGGAGCAAGGAAGTTAACTACAGGTAGTCCTCAACACAACCACAATTGACCCACAAATTTATGTTGCTAAGTTAAGTGCTAACTTAGTGAGTTTTGCCCCACTTTATGACTTTTCTTGCTTATTTATTTCATTTCTTGCTTAGTTATTAAGTGAATATCTGCAATTGTTAATTAATTAATAAAATGGTTGTTAAGTAAAGCTGGCTTCCCCATTGACTTTGATTGTCAGAAGGTTGCAAAAGGAGATTATATAAACCCGGGACACTGCAACCGTCATAAATTGGAGACAGTTGTCAAGCATCCTGACTATAAATCACGTGTCTATGGGGATGTGGTCATAAGTATGGAAAACGGTCATGTCACTTTTTTCAGTGTCATGGCAACTTTGAACAGTCACTAAGTGAACTAACCTGTAGCTAACTTTATGAACTGTTGTGCTGATAAAACAGTTAGTATTCAGGCTACTATTATATTATTATATCTATAAAAATTTAGGCCGATTATATCTATAAAAGGAGGAGTTTTAAAGGAAGAATTCAAAGGAGAGATGGACATTGAGAGTACAAAAACTAATAAATATAAAAGAAGAATTATTCTTCAGAAGAGCTTTGCAAAATAATCATAATTCTATGATATGTAATTTAAGGCAATAGAATGTTCCAGTTATATTATAATTTGTCTTTCATGGGGTTTCAAAAATCATTGCCAAAAATATCTGAAAATTCATACCATTTTTTTTTTTTAGAAAAGCAATATGTTTAAAATTTGAAAGCTAGGAAAGCTGTGAGACACAACTGTGCAAAATAAAAAAAAATAGAGCTCTAAATAGAGAGCTAATCTGATTTTGTGGTTTTTAACTTGGAATATATTTGCATTCACATAAAGATTAAAACTTTGAGCCAATTATCAAAGCTTTGTCTGCTATTGGAAATAGCTGTGCCACACACAAGCACAATTAAAAACGATGGGAACTACTCCTTGGTGGTACATCTGGGTCTATCAAGGAAGTCAAAACGACCTTCAACGCTGCAGTAAAAAAAAAGAAACGATTATCATAACAACCAGGCAGTTCTAAAAGTGTCTCAGCATTTGAAAATGTAAAAAAAAAAAAAAAAGACCAAAAAAAAATGCATCAGAAGAAACTCATAAGTAAAACCTTAGATTAAGTCAAGGACACAAAAATTGTTTTGGAATTGTTAACTAAAAACAAAAATATATTTGCAGCTGCGGCAGTAACAAACAGGAAGGAAGGCAAGGAGAAAATATGTCTGGACTCATTTAACAGACATCCAAATCCTGTCTCCCTAAGAAAATTGCCAATTTTAAAATTACATATTTAAAAACTGCAACTGCAATCTTACCAACAATAGGCAAACTTTAATGAAGAGAACTTCTCTAATTTAAGCTATAAAGATATGTACCAACACATTTAGGGACCTCCAAATCCCTACTTACATTTGAAGCAGAAGGAGAAGTGAGGAAAAATCTATTTTTTTCCTCAAGTCCCAATCCTAACCATTTCCAGTACATGAAATCTGTAGATATACCCCAGAGTATTTTTGCAACCACTTACATGTAACCTTAACAATTCTAATTGGAATCAGATTTTCTGTTATTAATGTGGTTACAAAGCATGGGATCATGTGACCATATCACTGAGTGATGGCGCACCTGGCAATCCCCACTTTGGTCCTTAAATGAATCCTACTTAGTCATTAGGCGAGGATCCACCCCAATCCAAGCCATTCCTGGCTTGGTTTGTCCTAGCCCCAAGTTTTGGTAAGGTAAGGAAATGCCTCCTCTTCAATTCCCCCATTTAATTACGTCCCTGCCATCTCTGCCCTTCTGGTGGGCCTGCAGTCCACCACTTCCGCCACTCTGCTACCCTCCAGTTGGGTGGCCATGCCTGTCCCATCTGACCTTCACCATCATCTTCCCTCCACTGTTGACAATGTCCCTGGCCTTTCACAAGGCAGCTGCTGGTCATGTCAGAAGCCATGGCTATCTTTGTCTAAGGCAGACGGAGAAGTCATGACATTTAGGGTAGGCAAAAGAGCAGAGAGCAGAGTTGAAGAAGAAAAGTTGAAGTGCCCATGTGGCTGTAAATGTAGGTGGACTGCCAAGTACCCAAATTTTAATTATGTGGCTGTGGGCATGCCTCAATGGACATAACTCCATGGACTCTGTTGTAAAGAACCATTCATTTGGCATTATCATAACTTCATGTAGAACAATCCATATTAGTGTTCCATTTTCTAGAATGTTACTGCTGGAAACAATATTCAAAAACAATGCAAATCTCTCTCTCTCTCCCTCCCCCCCCTCTCTGTAATCCCGCCCCCACCGGGCAATGGAATGCTGCCATACCTACCTTTTAATTGTATACTTGAGGTTGGGCTGACTGACTGTACTGTCATCCAGGAAAATAGTAGAACAGGAACTGTATTTCCTTCTCAGTTGACCAGGAGGATGCTACAAAAAAAAGAAAAAGAAAGAAAGAAAGCATATGAAAAAACAACAACAGTCCCAGTCCCAGTAATGCCAACGTCATTAAACAGTAATTCAATAAATTGCTTCTCTCTGTCTCTAGCAGATGCCTGGATACATTCAAGTCAACATAACCTGGCAAAAATCAAGAGAGAATTACACAGTAGTCACATTTTCTTTGCTCTTTGATCAGATCAAAAGATTATTTGTAATATTATCAGTCTATTCTTCAAAATGAAATAGTTGGATGGAGCCCCTACATATGAAAGAAGCAAGATGTACATTCTTACATAACGGAGGATTTTTAATGGAGGATAAAACAAAACAAAAATATACTGTATGCTTTCATTTGGCTGATGAGAATCTGGAATTAATGCTTTTTAGTTTAAAAAGCACATCACAGGCTTCTGCCCTCAGATAAAAGAAAGGGACATAGAAAACAATTCATAATTTCCTCCATCAACGTGATGCTAGTTTAACAGTGTTCATCTTTGTATATCCTCTATTCAGAAGGTTAAAAAGATGTCATTGCACAGAAATATTCAGAACAAGATTTTAATTTGCCTTTTTTGCCCTCTTATTCTAGATATAACAGGAGTGTCAAACTGGATGCGTCATACACAGGCCAGTGGTGGGTTTCCATTTTTTTTTTAGTACCAGTTCGCTCGTGCACATGCACAGAAGCTTCTGGATGGGTGGACGGAGCCTCCTGCCGCTGCCACTATCAGTTTATCCAATCCAGGCCGAACCGGCAGAAACCCACCTCTCACATAGGCCACACCTATCCCAGCTCTGTGAAGGGGAAAAACATTGCGATAAGTCACATGACAATAACGTGACACAGCTAAGTTTGACACCCGTGAGCTATAGTGACAAAAGACAGGAACAATGAGAGATCTTATGACTTAAGTTCACAAACGCTAGTGTAATTTGAGGCTTGGCATGTTGTGTGTGAACTGAGTAATTGTCGCCTATGAACTATGGCTTAATGACATACCACGTTGTGCAATTTGAACCAATTATGGCTTACTTTATCAGGCAAGAGTTTCAAACTCACTGGGTCACATTGTCATCACGTGATGTATTGTGACTTTTTCCCCTTTACTAAAACGGGGGTGGGAGTGGCCAGCCACTGACCACAAGTTTGACACCCCTCCTAAAAGGCATGTTTAAGTCAATTTTAATGTGATGTGATCTTAACCATTATATGAAATTTAGCCCATTAAGCTTTTTAGGGCACAGCTTTCTACTTTGCCAATCACGGAATCATAGTGAAGGTGTTTTACTTCAACCCTGCTGAAGGCAGCATTCTCTAACCATCAGCTGCTGTTCAACATTTGCTTGGAAACCTCCAGTGATGGGACTTCCATGATTCTTAAGAGGTAGGATTAATACCGGTGATTTTCAGGTCCTCTTTATTTCATGTTTAGATCTTTTTCTTTTGGCAGCTGGAACACACTGCTGGCTCATGCTTAATTTGTACAATGTACCCGGGAGCCATGAGATTGGATAAAGATGGCATATATTTGCTATTCTGTTGATTGCATGAGACGCTACGCAACGTCATCAATCTTCAACTTGCTTTTCCCCTTTCTAAAAACTGCTAAGAGTTAAAGAAATATAGAATATTGCTACAAGTAGTCTTCAACTTGAAGCAGTTCATTTAGTGACCATTCACAGTTACAGCGAAAACTTATGACTGTTTTTCACATTTACGATAATTACAAGGGTCATGTGATCAAAATTTGACTGTTTGGCAAAAGACTCACATTTATGACAGTTGCAGTGTCCTGGGGTTTTGTGATCACCTTTTTTGACCAAGCAAAGTCAATTTGGGAAGGAGATTCACTTAACAACTGGATTACTAATTTAATAACTTAATAAATGTGGCAAGAAAAGTTGTGAAATGGCACAAAATTCACTTAACATATTTCTCACTTAGTAACATTAATTTTGGGCTCAATTGTGGTCATATGTTGAGGATTACCTGTACAGTCATAGAATAGTGTGAATGCAATCTATTTCCTACTACTAAAGATGGAAATGACTTCTGTTTCCCCACGTATTACTTATGAACATATCTCAAAGATATTCCTCCACAAAAGAATCTGATCCAATTTCATCAAAATAATAGTAACTGTAATAAAACACACAAAAGTTGAGACCACATGCAGTTCACCTTATACTTAATTGAGCCAATATTCTATTCAGATACTTGCCATTCTAAATAGTTTACTTTCCCTATTAATTTTGAAGCAAGGTTAAAATCACCACAAAAATACAGAGGTGGTATTCAGCCAGTTCTGACAGCTTCTGAGGAACTGGTAGCAGAAATTTTGAGAAGTTTGGAGAACTGGCAAATAGGCTGCCCCCCTCCCCCCCACGGCTAACTCCCAGCTGATCTTCTTTTGTTGCCCTGAACAGGAAAATGGAGCTAGAAAACAGGTTAATAGGGGAGGAAGGGAATGGGGATTTTGCAGTAACCTTCCCCGGACTGGGGAGGGAATGGGGATTTTGCAGTATCCCTCTCCTGCCTGTGGGTACAAAGCCATGCCCACAGAACCGGTAGTAAAAAAAATGAATCTCACCCCTGATCCCATATGGTATAGAATAGTTAGCACTGTAAAAATCCAGATTCTTGTCTACTCTCTTCCAGGGAAATTCACTGGGAAAATTTGAGTCAGCCTTTCTATTTTGCCTAATCTATTTCATAGGATTTATGTGATGTGGATAAATAAAAGAGATTCTTTCAGCTCTTGAAGAAAAGGTGGGAACCAATTGAATAAAAGATAAATAATAATAATAGTGTAATAATCCGTCTCCTATCCTAATATAAAAGCTGTTGACTCGGAATATGGCATAAGTGTAGCCATATTTTATTATAGCTTTGTGGTGTTTTGTTTTGAAAGCATGTAAACATGTAAGTAGAAAAAATAGGGACCACTTTGGTGGGAAGGTAACAGCGTTCTGTGCACCTTCGATGTTTAGTCATACTGGCCATATGTCCATGGAGACATCTTTGGACAGTGCTGGGCTCTTCGGCTTTGAAATGGAGATGAGCACCGCCCCCTAGAGCCTGGAATGACTAGCACACATGTGCAAGGGGAACCTTTACTTTTATCTTCTAAGTAAATGAATTTAATAATACTTCAGGTTTTGCCATTTTCTAACTGTTGAAAGGGGGGTTGTAAAGATAATGGGGGAATGTTGTGTCTAGGTGGCATTCCTTTCCTGTGAGAACAGAGAAGATACTGCAGCTGGATGAAGGTGGAGTTTGGATTCGCCAGACTGTTGGATTCAGGATTGTTTGGAGTTTGTGACGGGGGGGGGGGGAGTTTCATATTTTTGCTTTTATTGGGTGTAATTCCAGATCAGAATTATACCAAGCCCTTGCCAATTTAATGTGTACCTAATAAACAGACTTTGAAAAGAAGATGGATGCCTTGCACCTTATTTTTTGGGATGTTACTGTGACATGTTACTTGAAGGTTTAACAGAAGCACTTGAAATCTTCTGATATGTAAACAGTACTCAATCAAGTACACTCAATCAAGCTATATAGTGAGGAAATATAGTAGAATATAGTAGATTTCTATGGGTTCAATAATGCTCTTCCTGATAGCTAGGCATAGGATTCCAATCTCAATCAATTGCAGTTCTTGCCAAAAGTTATGATTAACTTCTTAGGGTTTAGTATGGAAATATTAATCTAGCCCCAATGTTAGAAGTAGTACAATACATAATCTCACCCCAAAACCACATCAATGGAACCAATAAAAAGCTATTTTTCACTGGTTCTTGTAAATAAGATTTCTTGGGACAGAGAAGAAATAGTTTCCTAAATTTTCTGTGTGTGATGATCAGATCCTGACTGATAAAGATTTAGAACAGGAGTGGCAAACTCGTGTCGTCACAAATGTAAATCTAGAGATGTCACCAAGGATTGCATTATTGTTGCTGGTGGAAAAACAGGATATAAATTAAACAAAAAAGGAAATGATTGTAAATTTGATAATGGCAGCTAGATTAGCGATGGCTAAACATTGGGGACAAAACTGGGATAGTTAAAGAAATGAGTGGTATAATGAAATTTGGAGTATGGCAACAAATGATAAATTAATAACAGAAATTAAACTTTAAAAAGGGATGATTAAAGTAAATAATTATAATGAAATATGGGGGATTATATAAAATCAGTGTTGGTGGAAGGCAAAGGGAATAAACCTACTCAAGAATATATGTTGTTTTGGAGGGTATAAGGGCACAATTGGAATATATTGTATATCTAAGAAATATAAAGGGGGAAAAGTTCTGGGGGCGTGCACTGTAGTATGTATTTTTCCCTTTTTCTTTTGCATTTCTTTTTGTATTCAGTTGTATATGTACTGTTTGTATTATCTGTGTTAAAAAAACTTGCATCATCATTAGAGCCAAGGTGGCGCAGTGGTTAAATGCAGCACTGCAGGCTACTGCTAGATCAGCAGGTCAGCGGTTCAAATCTCACCGGCTCAGGGTTGACTCAGCCTTCCATCCTTCCGAGGTGGGTAAAATGAGGACCCAGATTGTTGGGGGCAATATGCTGACTCTCTGTAAACCACTTAGAGAGGCCTTAAAGGCCTATGAAGTCTACTGCTATTGCTATTGCTATTGCTATTGATGTATCGTGACTTTTTTTCCATTCCCTAAACTGGGGGTGGGCGTGGCCAGAAAGTGACGCATCCGGCCTGCAAGCCGTGAGTTTGACACCCCTGATTTAGAAGAAGGTTACGGATACACCTTCCTGAAGACACATTATACAAAGACCTAGAGAAGGCTCTGAGCGTTGTAAAGATGGTAGGAAAGAGAAAAAGAGGAAGAATAGCAGCAAGCCATTAATGACTTGGTGGCATATAATTCATCCATCAATTAGCAAGAATTGGGTATGTCTAGTTTAATAAAAAGAAGGACTAGGGGTGATATAATAGCAGTCTTCCAATATCTAAGGGTCTGCCACAAAGAAGAGGGGGTCAAGCTATTCTCCAAAGCATCCAAAGGCAGGACAAGAAGCAATGGGTGGGAACTAATCAAGGATATAACTAATGTAGAAATACGGAGAAATTTCCTGACAGATATAGAACAATTAATCAATGGAGCAACAGAAGCTGTGGGTGCTCCAACCCTGGAGGTTTTTAAGCAGAGACTGGACAACGATTTGTCTGAAATGGTGTAGGGTTTTCTGTTTGATCAGGGGTTGGACTAGAAGCCCTCCAAGGTCCCTTCCAACTCTGCTATTCTGTTCTGTTCACAGTTGCAAATCCCAATGGTGCTTTTTCCAAAAGGCAACTAGACTTCCTTTTTTCCTTTGCTTCTCATTCAAAAAACTTCCTCAGTTCTCTTGGATGAGAAGCAAAATGTTTTCAAAGAAAAAAAAACCCAAGAAAATCCAGTTGCCTTTTGTAAAAAGTACCTTTGGGACTACCATGACCTGGATGATTGAGAATCTCCATAGATACCCAGCTGCAAGCTCTTCTGTTATCAGTGGAGGGGGGGGGAGGGACTGCTTCTGACTGGATTTCAGGAAGTCTCCTAGAAAAAAACGAAGTCTCTTGTGTAAATAAATCAGAGGATAAATTCATTTCACATGGGAAATAGTTCAGCCGTTAAAATGCTGGTAACCTCTTGCCTTTGATCACAATAAATCTTGCTTAAAAATGTGAGAATGTTACTTGAAAAGAGTATGGTTAAAATAAGCTGCCAAAAGACTTACGGCTGTGAATGAACCAAAATTTGGGAAAAGGGAAATCAAAGGAACGGGAAACGATTTCTTGTGGTCTTCAGGAGGAATGTTATATTCGCCTTGGAATAGAACTTTCTGCTCCCAAACTTTTTATTCTAACACAGTTTAGCAAATACTGGGGTTTAAAGTAAAATTAAGGCCTGTATAAAAGATATTTTTTTAAATGGCATAGTATTTTATCACTTGCACAATAGGTCTCCCCCCCACCACTTCCCCAACATATCTGACTGGTAACAAAATGTGAGCACCTGTTATGCTTTTTACATTTCTTTTTAAAAGTAAGCTGCATTTGAAAGAACAAGAAAAGGCCGGATTGGAATATAACAGCATAACCAAATTTCTTTGTCTGTAACAAACTGTTGAAGAGCCGAGGTGAACTGCTGAAGAGCCCATGTGAAGAGCCGAGGTGGCGCAGTGGCTAAATGCAGCACTGCAGGCTACTTCAGCTGACTGCAGTTCGGCTGTTCAAATCTCACCGGCTCAGGGTTGACTCAGCCTTCCATCCTTCCGAGGTGGGTAAAATGAGGACCCAGATTGTTGTTGGGGGCAATATGCTGACTCTGTAAACCGCTTAGAGAGGGCTGAAAGCCCTATGAAGCGGTATATAAGTCTAACTGCTATTGCTATTGCTATTGCTGAAAGGAATGCATCATCTGGAGCTCTTAAACCACGTGTAGGAGCCCTTGACCATGTAGAAACCAAAAAGAGGAGATGCTTTCTTGTTATTTTCAGCTGACACTAAAGAGCTTCACTGTAAACCTTAACACAAACTTAACAATAACAACCCCAAAATAATACAAGTTCTCTCCAGGTATATGGACCCTGTCTCATCCATTTTGCATAAATGTCCTGTGGACTGTACCCCTCATTTTCTGGAAGATGGTACTTGTAACTCCTATACTGTCAATCCTGCCTAAACATTGATGGGAAATTATGGGTATTAAATTGACTGCAATTTAATTTGATTTGTGTCCTGCCTTTTTCTCTCATAGCAGGCTGAACTCTCATACTTAGCATGCTCCCTAACAGTTTTCCTCAGAACAGCAACCTGGAAAGTCACTGAAAGAGTGTGGCTGACCCCCCAAATCATCTAGTTGTTTTCCATGGCTGAAGTTGGACTTGAACCTGGGTCCCCCAATTCTAATTCAAAAACTGAGAAAGGATAGGGAAATAATATAAGAAGAGAATCATGCAATGCATTTTTAACATTAAATTATTTCAGACTCCATATCTCATAATTTTACTACCTTGATCACTTTTGGCCAGCTGCTATGTGTTATTGAAGTTCAATGGTGTCAGCAAAACAAATCTCTCTATCCAATTTTCCTGAGATTATTTTTGGGGATAATTACGCAAGCCATTAATTTGGAAGGTCAATGTGTAACAGCTCCATATTAGAAAAGGATTGAGGATGATTATCTGCCATGGCAATGAAGGTCTTACTCAGGGCCAACCCAAGATGATCCAAAGCTCAAGATTTCATTACCTTGACTATGAGCCCGCTGACCAGCTGGCCAGCTGTCGTGTGCTATTGAAATTCAACGGGGTCAGCAAAACAAATTTTCCTATCCAATTTTCCCAAGGTAGTTTTGGGGACGATTATGCAAGCCATTAATGTCAACCCTGAAGCCATTTGGGACTATCTTCAGGGCTGCAACAGCAAGGCTGGTTGGAGCTGTGGGAATTGGAAGGGGAAGTAGGGATAGCTGGGGACTTGTAGCCAAAATAAAATTCTTTCTCCTGGGAACCAAGGACATTTTCATCAGGTGCTGGGAAAGTGTAGACTGAAATCAACTGGAGTTGGGACTGAGACCTGATTGGACCATGTGATGGATTGGGGAAGAAGAACTTAGATTTTTAATTTGGGTAGGGAAAACCTCAGGACCTTCAGAGTTGGGTTTTCATCAGATGTGGCAATATGACATGCCTAATAAATTTGGATTTCGAGGAGCATCTTGACCTGTGAGTTTTGATTGCTTTGCATCTGTTACTTGAAACCCTGACAGTTAATTTGGAAGGTCAACGTGCAACAGTTCCTCAGAAGAAGGACCAAGAATGGTTAGTCATCATGGAAATGAAAGCCTCACTCAGGCCTATCTTAAGGAGGTTCAAACTTCAGGATATTGTTACCTTGACCTTGCAGCATAACCAGCTTTGACCAGCTGTTGTCTACTATTGAAGTTCAATAGTGTCAGCAAAACAAAATCTCCCTATCCGGTTTTCCTGGGATTGTTTTGGGGATGATGCATCATGCAAGCTGTTCTTTTGGAAGTCAGTATGCAACATTTCCATATTAGGAGAGGATTATAAATGGTTAGCTGGCATGGCAATGAAGGCCTTACTGAAGTCAACCCAAGAAGATCCAAATCTCAAGATTTCATTACCTTGATCAAGTTGGGGGACCAGCTTTGGCCAGCTGTTGTGTACTATTGAAGTTCAATAGTGTCAGCAAAACAAATCTCTCTATCCAGTTTTTCTGAGATTGTTTTGGGGTTGATGTTAGCATCGCATAAGCTGATTATTTTGCAAGGTCAACATGCAACGTTACCATATTAGGAGAGGATCCGGAATGTTTAGCTGCAATGGAAATGAAGGCCAACCCAAGAAAAACTACTAACTGTAGAAAGAGAAAAACTCAATGTCTCAAGTGGAAAGATCTTTGGGATTGACACGATCCTGTTACCATGTTGGGATTTTAATTAACATTTGGAATGTGGAAATGGTCCCGCTATCGGCACCATAGATCCTGAATATTCTCATACTGGATAGGGACCTACATTTGTTCCTTCATGGTCTGATAACCAACAGGCAAAAACGAATACAAAAATCCCTACCACTAACAGAATACTTGTAAAGTATAGTGTATGCCATCCAACAAAATTGACTTAAATACAAGGGAGAAAAACAGAAACATGTAATTTAAGTATTTAAAACACGGTTTGAAATTTAGAGAGCATTATAGCAAACTTATATCAATTAGCCCCTAAATTTTGACTACATTTGGAATGCATTAATGTCTCTTTTCAGACATTGAAGACCATACAAATAAGTAAGGGGTTAAAGTCCATATTATATAACTGACCTAATCTACGTAATTGCTTCATATGTCATTTGAGTAATTATATAAATGATTTATATAACGGTGGTGTAAAAAACTTTAGAATGACAGAAATAACATTAAATTTCAAATCACTTTGGAAGGAACAAACTTTGTCCACTGTTTGCCTATGAAGATTTACGCATAATTTAGTTCATTTTATTCTACATAATGGAGGTTTGGAGATCAACATGTTTTACTGTATATTTAAAATATGCTACTTAGCTAAAACATTTTTTTTCACTTACATGGTTTATGTAGAGACTCTTCCGTTTTTCTCTCACTGTAAAAACACAAAATGTATGAAAGTTATATAATCTGATATCAATTAATTTTTGTACCATCTGTTGTTAAAAAAGTTATGACCTTTGTAAAAGTGGATAACCAGAGAAGCATTTTCTAACTTTATGTTCCTATTCACTCTTACAGAATAAATACACAATCGGGATGTGTAAATAAAAAAAACTTATATTAACATGCTACTTTATAAAGGAAATGATTCTAATTTTATGATTTAGTTATTTAATTTCATTGAAACATTCATGGAAAAATTTTTTTTGATGCACTCAAATAGCGCAAAGGTATGAAATTTTTTTAAAAATATTTTAAATGCTTAAAATATTTATAGTACATATAGAATTTCATTTTGGTTTTATATGTTTCCTATCAGCCTAATTTAAACATTTACTGTCTATAGAACTTGATCTTGATTTTAAACAACACTGTCTTATTTCAGGTACAAAATTTAAGCATCAAATATAATATAGCTATATGTAATATTAATATAATATAATATAATATAATATAATATAATATAATATAATACAATACAATACAATACAATACAATACAGCACAACACAACACAACACAACACAACACAACACAACATAATATTGAATATAGCACATTTGCCTGGAATCCACACTGTATATCAGACATTAATACAATCGAGCAAGTCATGAGAAGAGTTCTCCACTCCTCTGCTTGCAACAGAATACCTTATGCCACCAGGCTTGAAATTTTGGGCTTAGACAATCTGGAACTGTGCTGTCTGAGGTCTGATCTAAGCGTAGTACACAGAATTGTCTGCTACAATGCCTTACCTGTCAACACCTTCTTCAGCGTCAACCTCAATAATATGCGGACAAACAATAGATACAAACTCAAGGTAAACCGCTGCAAACTCGATTGCAGAAAATATGACTTCAGGAACAGAGTGGTCAATGCCTGGAATGCACTACCCAAGTCTATAGTCAAACCCCCATAACTTTAACATCCTCATACCCCCATAACGTTAACCTTAAACTATCTAGTGTGAACCTCACCCCTTTCTTAAGAGGTCTGTAAGGGGCCATGCATAAGCGCACCAGTGAGCCTACAATCCCTATCCTATTGTCCCCATTTATTCGTACCCATTTCTTGTGTTTATGTCCATGTTTATACTTATACCTGTTATCTCATACATACTTGACAGACTAAACAAACAAACAAACTTTTTAGATGCAGGCTTTTGATATCAAAATCAAAGCATAAATTCTATCCATGTTACTTTAGGCACCCAGCTACAGTAATATTTCATTCTTTCATGCTCTTTGTCTTTCACCTGATTGGTAGTTTTGGAATGCTGCCAGGGCATTCAATGGCTAATGGAAGAGGTGTCACATATTACCCATTTTCTGAGTTTTTGCATATGCATGAGTTTCCTTTGAATGAGACAAATCTCATTTCTGATTGCTCACAAAGTCTACACTGCCTTTAGAAAACTAACAAACCAACTGATCTTTCCTGAAAGTTTGGGTATTACCATTACATGTGACCAGGTTACAATGAACTGCATATTGAAGAAGCATCCAAAGGTGAATTCAAACAAGGATACTTCTGGGGGCTAGACTTCCAAGATAAGAACATATTTCTATTCTTTGTGGAGTTGAACTCATTCAAATTTTGCAGTTAAATAACCTCCTATCTTTGATAATGACACTGGATAGCCATACAGCATCTGTGGCAATGTTTCAGTATGAGATAAATCAAAAAGAGAAACCTGGTTTTAATGTGTTATAAAATAGTAATCCCAAGGACGATTCAGCTCCCTTACTTAACATAGTGCAGAGTTTTTTTTTGTTTTTTTGTAATCTAATCCTGAAATCTGGTTTAGGGTGAAGATGGTATAGTGCAGTGTTTCTCAACCTTGGCAACTTGAAGATGTCCGGACTTCAACTCCCAGAATTCCCCAGCCAGCATTCGCTGGCTGGGGAATTCTGGGAGTTGAAGTCCGGACATCTTCAAGTTGCCAAGGTTGAAAAACACTGGTATAGTGCACTCTCCTGGGGGTTCCTCATTACCTTGTGTGGAAACATCTTTATTATTTGCTAGTAAATTTCCAAATCTAAATTAAGTTGTTATCTATAGAAGCACAAAGCTACTAAACCAGGCCTTGTTATGTAAAATATTATGCATGCACGTTGGTGAGCCTCCAACCTAATAATTCTGAATTTCTGAATGCTCCAAATGGATTATGTGTATGTGAATTCACAGATCACTACTCAAAGTTCCAGATAAGAATAATAGTGCTCACAGTTGGGACCATTAGCTATGTCATTAAGCAAAGCAGTCACTAAATGGGAAACCATGTGACTGCAACCATGCTTTCCTTTTCCCCAGTCCCGCACTTTTTGGAATATTCATCCTGATACTGGAACATATGCTAGACTAATCAGTTTCACACCTTCAGCTTCTTTCCTTACTAATCACTGTCCTGCTGTTTGAATGCTCCCTTTGATACTGGAATAATTAGCAAAAAGGAAATTAATTCATTGAAGGGGAAGGGATTACAGGCACACAATAGGAAAACATATCAGGAATACAGGGGCCCCAGCAAGAGCCATATGCAAATAGCCCAGTGTATTTTCCATGGTGTGCCTGATTACTCTTTTATAATCCCTTTCTCTCCAATCTGTTCACTCTGCAGGGAGGGAGGAATGGATTAGCACAGAAGAGATTGCCTATAGGGATTCCCCCCTACCCACCCCCACTTGTGTAAGAAATTTCTCTGTTTAAGGCATATTCCTTTAAATGTGCATTTCATATCGGATGCCTGCTTACTGTCTTGTAATGCCTTCCTCTCCAATCTCTCCACTCTGCAGGGAAGGGGACTAAGTAAAAAAACAACAACAATGGGTGCCTATTGTAATGGCAAACATATGATTTAGGTTCCAATGGAGACATGAATGGAGCCCCCAACTGGGCTTCCACTGATCAGTGGTGATGTGGCTGATTAATCTTTTCAACCTGGAAGGTCTCAGTACTTCCAATGTGACAACAACAGTACAGGATTGCGACTAAGCGTGCGGCAAAGTTCATAATGTGTACATTGGTCATAAAACTATTTCTTCAGCACTGTTGTAACTTCAAATGTTTGCTGAACACGGCAGTCACTAAACAAGGACTACTTATTTCATTCAGATACTACCATTTTTTTAAAAAAAAATCCTTTCTATCTCTTTTAGTGTCACTGAACCTATTCACATTTCTGTCATTTAGATAATCATTTTTCCAATACTTTTTCAAGGTTTTGAACCAAAAGTCTTTCTCTGCAATTGTCCCTTAATTCTTCAAATATAAAAATATTGATTTACCACTTATTATATGCAAAGCACATGCTACTTCCCTGTGCAAACACATGTAATGAAAATTTCCTAATATTTTTTAAAAAATGCTTACATGCCCTCAATAAATCCTAGAATACAAGAACACTAGACTAAAACATGCTTTTTGTTGAAACCGTTGCACCCACAACCTTTAAACAAAATGTGACCTAAAAGAATGTGGGACAATAAATTAACATATAATTTTAATAAATCAGCAATTAATAAATGATGTCAGCTTGTTCTAATGGTTAAAGGCTAAAAACCATGATACTGTAAGCAGAAGCGAAAAACAAGATGACGGTGCCACAGGGACCGCCTCGACAACCGGTTCAGGGGCGTGGCAGACCTGGGTCACCAGTTCCAGCGACCCAGGCCACCAAATTACCCAGGCTGGTAGGAACCCACCACTGACTGTAAGTCTTGCCTTAGGCATACAATCCAGCGAAGTGAGTTTGGGCAAGTGATTCTTTCTCAATCCTAGAAGAAATGAGTTCGGCAATGGCAAAGCACTTCTAAAAAACTCTGCCGAAAAAACTGCAGAGTTTGTCTCGAAATCACTAGAAATAAAACCTGACTCAAAGATACACACATGCATAAATCAATAAATTTGCATCATTACTAGAATTCTAGCAGCTCTAATTTAAAAAAAAATCAGAACTGTTCATTAGAAACCAGAATGTACCATTCTGTTTGGTTAAAACATCCCCAACTCTGTTGCTCAATAAAATATTGGATGCATCAAAAACATTTCCTTGTAGATGTCCAAAAAGCTAACAAGAATTAACTCCTTTTGTGTTGTCTTAAAAGTAGATGACACTCCCTCTTCTCCTAGTTAGCAAAATACAGGTAGTTCTCAATTTACAACAGTTTAGTTGAATAGTTTAGTGACTATTCAAAGTTACAGTGGCACTGAAAAAAGTGACTTATGATCTTTTTTCACACTTATGAAAATTGCAGCATGGTCAGGAGATCAACATTCAGACATTTTCAATTGACTCCTATTTATGATAGTTGCAGTGTTCTGGAATCCCCTTTTGTGATGTTCTGACAAGCAAAGTCAATAGGGAATCCAGATTCACTTAACAACCGTGTCACTAACTTATCAACTGCAGTGATTCACTTAACAACTGCAAAAAAGGTCATACACTGGGACAACATTCACTTAACAAGTGATTCAATTGACAACATAAATTTTGGGTTTAATTGTGGTCATAAGTAAGGATTAGGACTACCTGTATTTGCGGAGTTTTTAAGTGGTCATAAGTAAGGATTCGGACTACCTGTATTTGCGGAGTTTTTAAGTGGTCGTAAGTAAGGATTACGACTACCTATATTGGCGGGATTTTTAAGTTTCAAAGAAAAAAATGAGGAAAAGGGCTCTGAATTTTCTCCGCAGTAGTATGCAAGTGATTCAATAGATCATTTACTGTCCCAAAGGTGCTTTTTGCAAGAGGCAACTGGACTTCCTGATTTTTCTTTGAAGACGTTTCGCTTCTCATCCAAGAAGCTTCTTCAGCTCTGACTGGATGGTGTGGAATAGAAGAATGTATACTCCTTGCAGACAGCTGGACATTGCTTTCTTGCAGTCCATCTGTCTGCAAGGAGTATAAATTCTTTCATTCCCCACCATTTAG